GCCAAACAGTAGTGATTGCGCCTTAAGTGGTGGATTGTCACGCTTAGCAACTACTAGCCTCGGCACAAGTGGAGTGTTAGAGTTGTGTCGAATATTTTGTACAAGATAAGGTTACAGTTGGACTATGAGTCGTAAGATGTGTAGATAGGATACCGAGTCGTGTCCTAATAGGATACTTGTACAGTAAACACACAATGTAACCTATGCCAACATAATAGCACAGGCATGCAGGGGGAGCCGGTGTGTCGGCGCCCAGGCGGTCAGGTTGCGGTATTGTGACGGTGTCATGGGAAGGAACACCCATAGTAAGGCCCCGGGGATGCAGTCATATCGATGAACCTCGTTAAAAAATCTCGATGTCGTGCCTCGTTTGATTGCGTGGTCCTCGGATGATCAACGGCAATGCCTCATATTTATTTAACATGGAGGATGAAAGCATTGCGTTAATAAAATGCACATGACATTTTAAAATAGGTAGTATAGCACTTGGTCGATGTAATGTTCACTGTGTGCAGATCACAACCAAATCTGAAAAGGGCTGATGTCGTGTGTTTTCCTCCTCTGGTTCGGTTTTCTTTCTCATGTTTTGGAATTTACTTTAAAAATACATTTTGAGTTTTAAATTAATAGCAACCAGAGCACAGGATTTTTTTAAAGAGTTTGAACAAAACTACTCAGTTTCTTTATGTATGAAGGGAACATGCCCGACCAGAGCAACAACCTCTGTTCTTTTTTCTTATTTCCTAGTCGTATTCTTCTTGGTTTGATGGAGCCTGAGTAAACCAGTATAGTCCATCTTCTCCAGAATGGCAACATATAAACTATTTTAAGCCTTCATTAGCTTCACATATTATTGTGGTATCGAAAAATATTACACCCATAAGTATCACGTTTTGGCCACATAACCCTCTCACCTCTAAAACTAGGATCTTAATTCCCTCGACTTTTAAAAACCAGACAAATCACACCCTGATGCTCGCGTAGGTGGTTTTTAGGATGGTTTTGCCCATGTGGAACACTGGTCAAGTTGACTTATATTGTCACCGTGCATCTGATAATACTTGATTCACGGGCAACGAACCATGGACTTTCACGGAAACCTGTGCGTTCCTTCCTCTAATTGCCCCCCTCCCCTTGATTTTCACTGGTGGGCCCGCCTCACTTAATTAAATCTCAGCCAATCATATCCTAACCACCCTATAAATCCCCTGTAAAACCCTGTGTGTGTAGCATTACTCCCGTGTATCACATGTTAGTGAATCAATTATGTGTTCAATGCTTCCTCACCACACCCACGTGCATGAGCCCCTGCTCCATTTGTGGCCGCCGCCAGAAAATAGAGGACGATGCCGCTCGTTCGGCCAAGCTACTGCTAACTGTGGCCACATCGTCCGTGGCTACTGGCACTCCTCACCGCCGATAAGTTGACCATTGCTCTCTCCAGCCTACATTGGCGCTGTTGCTCGTGCCCTGGGTATGCTCGGCCACGTCGCGGATGCGCTGGTCCTGCAGCCCTATGCCATACTCAATGCCAGCACCATCGAGCTCTTTCAAGCAAGGGTGGATTCAAAAGTTGGAGCTAGGAGCTCCGCCAGCTACAAACGCGTGTTGTCGCTCTGCTTCGTGTGTGCTTCCAGCGGCTTCCGTTGAGGTAGGCCTTGTGGTAGGGCTTGGACCAGACACGGTCAACATGTACATCGGTAGCACACTAAATGGGTGCACTTAGATTTTTTGACGAACTGACCATCAGATTGGTGCTTTCCCATCTCAACTCACCACCATGTGATCAAAACCACCATCTGAAACCACCTACGAGAGCGTGAGGGGGTGATTTATCTGGTATTTAAAAGTTGAGGGGATTAAGATCCCGGTTTTAGAGGTGAGGGGGTTATGTGGCCAAAACGTGATACTTCTGGGGGTTATATACACTTTTATCATCGTGTATCATATGTCATTCAAAATATAACTCTTCTGCTTCGAACTGATGTAGAGAGGCAGCAACTGTTGCATTGAAGAACACGGAAAGGTTGGTCGTCTATGGATGGACATTCATGTTTTTTATTTCATAAAAAGGAAATAAATATAATATATTTATGTGTGGTGGATGGGTAACTAATGCAACGACCAACCTTTCCGTGTTTAAGAGCATTTGACTTTCGCCATAGATCAATATATTCGTTCCGCATAGTTGTAGCCTGCTTGTCATTCCTTCTATTTGTCGTAGTTCGTCGAAATAGTTCCATCCATAGACGAGACTCTAGATAATGAGGAAAATCATGTTTTACGAGAAGTTTGAAACGTGCAACACTTGGACTGGGAGGCATCAGGAAACAATTAGCTGTCACATTTCAAAATGATATCATCTTATCATGGATTTGATGTGCGTCAACTTCTTTTGGAGCTGGCAACCATCACCCTATTCACCGATAGATGCTTTATCACAGTACATTATCGATGATTGTGTTCAGCGGTATGTGTCGAGCGTACGAGTTGGAAAGCAACACTGTTGCACAGGAGCTGGCTGCCTACGTACAAAGAGATATACGATAATGTGCGACTCGCTGATGTATTTTAGCTAACGATTCTAAGCTGTGTGCTGAGTAACGACAATATATAGTACCAGTTCTCACCCTAAAAAAAGTGTACCATACTCCCGTGCGACTCATTCCACCATCCATTGTTGTATCCAACGGAGAGCCTGACCTTCGACTTCGACTCCCATCATGACTCAGTCTGACTGCTGGCTTATATATGACTCACAGCAATTCTGCCTCCCCTATCCACCAGCAGACTTCTGCCACCTTCTCTCCGGCAATCTCGTCCTCGCCTTCCTTCCGACTGTCAGCCATGTCCACTAGTACTGATGCACTCCTATGGGACGCTGTCCTACATGAAAGTTGCTCTCTAAAGTTACATTTGCTCCCTAGTGACTTGTTACTCTTGTTTGGTTTCAACATGTTATCCTGGTGAATAAAATGTTTATGTATCAGTCTCTTTAGCAGCATATAAATGGACATGTGGGTAAGCTGATCCCTGAAATGCTGACAACATAATAATTTGCAAGTCTCAGAAATCAGTACTATGTCATGTTTTGCTTCTTTCTCTGCGGCTCTATGATTTCAGCAACTTGGGAGTAAGTGTACGTGTATTCTTGTAGCAGATCGCAAGTCATTGTGTACATGTATTACTTAATCAGCTTGTAAGACACTGTGCAGTACTCTAGGACAGCATTTCATAATACAGTCCGAAGAAGAAGATCCTTTTTTATACACAACCTCGTCTACTTGAATGTGCTTTTACTGGCATGTTGAATTGATGATGGTGTGCATTTTCCCTTTTTATGTGGATTGGCTGGCGGTAGGGCCCTTATAGTTTGATTATGCTTTGCATCTTTTGTTGTGACATGCTTGGAATGGTGAGTATCCAAGGACCGAATGTAACATGAAGATAGTGGGTATAGTTCACACTTCACAGTGAGTGTTAGCCAGGCCATTTGTCAAGGATGAGAGGGACAAAAGTTCGTGGACTAGGATTAGATTATAATGGAATATGTGTTATCCTTCGTTTAGGGAAACCATATTCTACACGTGAGAATAGAATCTTAGTTGGCTCTTCTATCCTTACTTCTGGTGGTAGGGATTGAGTCATGCCATTGCCATATGGTGTCCATGTTTCATGGGACTGCTGTGGATGTAGTATGGTGATTTGATGATTGGCTCTTATGTTGAATAGATGTTATGTTTGTTAACATTTAATTATCTTCTGATTTCCGAGTTGTTTACGTTTCCCATTTCATATGTTGCTTCTAATTTCGGTGTCCTTTTATATAGCTAGTGATTGCCATCTTTAGTTTTGTTGCCTTTTTTTCAATTATGGTATGAGAACTGAATGTTTTATCCTCAATTAATATGGAATCTTTATAGAATGCCATTTGTCTATGATGACAGTTACTCAGAAGCAGATGACGATGCTACGTACCACCAGTAGGGGAGCATCTCCAACTCGGATGAGTAGTCATCAGGGTAATGGTTCACACTAGAACCTACACTCTAATAAAAGACATATATAGTCTAATAAGAGAGCATATTGTGAGAAGAATTATCCATCTTTGCTTTCGAAGCCGTGTAGATACTTAAAGTTCAGCATACAGATTGAAATTAGCCAAAACAATGCAACCTATTTATTGGTTAACAAAGCTCAATATATAGAAAGTTCAGCAGTTAACTATGAACCTACAGAATTTGGTGGTCAACAGTTCACTATGTTGCATCTTTTCAGAGCAAAGTCAGTCAAGCTCAATTGATATTTACAATTTTTAGAGAACAGCGTGAATTCTCTGAAACTTTCTCCCGCAAGGCTCCTTCCTTCCTCATCACCACTTTGCAGGTGCTAATGCCAGCAAAAGTTAACTTTCCTCTCCATTATCTTCCATTACTGGCTTCATACTGCAACTCCGTCCCCTCTCCTCAAATAAGGAAGAAAATGAAGTTGTGGTGTTAAAAAAGGAAAATGATAATTTTAGGGCCAAAAAGGCAATTAGGTTTTAAGAAAGGGCCAGATAAGGAATTCTCGCATATAAGAACACTCGCAAATCCAACACATCACCCGGCAGCAGATCCAATGAGTGAAATGACGAAGCCGGCAACGCACCGGAGAAAATTATCGCCGCCGCCTACCATCCTGGCCTCCTCCTCCTCCTCCACCTCGCCCCAAATCCCGAAGAAATAACCTCGTCACCCTACTTCCTACCCGAGCTCATCCCCCAGATCACGATTCTCCTGACCACCCTCCAGGATTTCTTTGCCCTTCGTGCAACCTACTGGGATCTCCTCCCTCCGTCGCCGTCCAACCTCGCCTCCCAAGCCCCGCACGTCCTCCTTGTCCCTGGATCTGGAGCCCTGTTCCACCTCCCCCTCCGTCGTCGCCTGCGCTTCTGCCTCCCCTTCCATGATGTTGATCCTAACCATGCCGCCTTCTACTCTTTCGGCTGTCGCATCGCCATGGCCAGCCCTAGCCACCACGAGCTTAGCTTTGTCCACCTCCTCACAGGCGAGCGATTTCGCCTCCCCCATCCACCGTCACCCTTCTGTCGCCTCCTTCTCTCTGGCAATCTCGTCCTTGCCTTTGTTCCGACGGTCGGCCGTGCCGTCCAGTACTGTCGCCTTGGGGATATTGAGTGGCGCGTGGCATCATGCACTGAACCCTATGTGCTTGAGGATTTGATCTTTCACAAGGGCAACCTGCATGCGTTGGTCAGATCTGAAGATGCCGGCAGCCTATGTTACCGTCTCGCTGTGGCCAATCTGTCAGACAAGAATTTGGTGGAATTCAAATTTCTTGGAGATCATTTGGAATCACAGGCTGCACATGGGAGTTTATATTTCTTTCTCGCTGAGTGTCTCGATGAGTTGTTGCTCATTGCCGCCGTTGGGGGCTTCCCAGAGAAGTTTCATGTTTTCCGGTGGCAGTCAAGGGAGGGGAAGTGGACAAGGACTACTAGCCTTGGTGACTGCACATTGTTCTTGACATATTTTTACTTTGTAGGCTATGTTGTTCCGATGAAAGGAATGACATGCTTTTCAGGTTATTTCTTTGCAAGTTGCCTTGGTCCAGATCATCCAGGAGTTCGAAGGGACTGCTTATACTTCACAGATGCCAAAAGAAAGTGGATCGAGTATTCCTTGGCCGATGGATCTTGTGATGAATTTGTTGCTGACAACTTAGAGGGAGCTTCAAGGCCTGATTCCGATTTCAGGGCACCTGTTTGGGTCTTTCCGAGCATGTGTTGATGCGCTCCTATGGATCATTGAGCTATGTGAAAGTTAGTACAAAGGTACAATTGCTCTCTAGTGAATTGTATTTCTTATTTGGTCTTGATATGTTATTCTTGTGTATAAAAAAGTTTATGTGTCTATCTCTTTAGCAGCAAGTGTTACATATTGGGCATATCGTTTCAAGTTGCATATAAATGGACATGCTGCTAAGCTGATCCCTGAAATGTTGACAGTAACAATTTGCAAGTCTCAGAGATCAGTACTAGATCATGTTTTGCTTGTTTCTCTGCAGAGTTGCTCAGCAACTTGTAAGTAAGTGTACATGTATGCCCACACCAGCTCGCATGCCAATGTGTACAAATTACTGAATCAGCTCGTAAGTCAGTGTGCAATCACTGGCATCCTCAGTTTTGTTGCCGTTTTCTTTTCAATTATGGTATGAGAATTGAATGTTTCATCCTGAACTAATATGTCATCTTACAGAAAGTCATTTGTCTATGATGCCAGTGACCCAGAAGCACAAGACGATGCTACGTACCACCAGGAGGGGAGCATCTCCAACTCGGATGAGTAGTTATCAGGGGAATCGTTCACACTGAAACCTACTCTCCAATAAAAGACATTATAGTCTACTGTACATATATAATGTTTTTTATCCGCAGCTATTTCACCATGAGCAGAGTACCATGGCCTTTGAACATGGGTATGTAATGTCCGCGGCTTTGCGAACCTTTTCGACAAGCCTGTAAGGCATAATACTGTTTCCCGGATGATTTGTAGTACCAGTATTTCATATTATTCCAGCTTAGAGAACTAATGTTGGTTTACCGAGGCCATATTGGGCTTATCATGTGCAAAACCTTAGGCGTCAATCTTTGAGGCTGACGGAATTTCCCTTCCTCAGTATGTGAGAGATGCTTCCTTATCTTAGGGTGGGAGATGCGACCTGTTGTATTACATCATCATGCAGGCGACCCACATTGCGACCTAATGAATTTATGCAGTCTCGGTCTCTGTTTTATCAGCTCTTCGACGGTTTCACTTGCTCTCTCCATAGAAACCAACATACAAAGAAGCGGGTGGTTTCAATCCTGCAAAATTGCACAAAGTTGTTGTAGTATCGACGGGTACTAAGTTCATGTATGTAGAACAGATAGCACTTCGAAGTTGAGTCCTGCAACCAACCTGTTTTTCAGAGGCTGTGTGCCATTCCATGACATCTCCCCATGTCAAAACTCGTTCATCCAGTTCTGCTCAGCATCAATGTTAGCTTCCCAAGTCTGAGGAGTCAGGATACAATAAGAATTTATCCAGAACAAACCTTTTGATGGTTGACAAAGCTCAGTAAATTAGAAGGTTCGCGGCTTGAGGATGACACACCAGATTACTTGCCACACGCACGCACTGTTTTTTCAGAGCATAACCAGTCAAGTTTGATTTGTACTTGTACTTTCCAGAGGATACCGAGACCATCTTTTACCAGCTCTGAAATTTTTTACTTTGCAGGTGCTACTGCCAGCAGAAATTTAAGTTTCCTCTCCGTGCTCTGCTATTACCGGCTTCACTCTTCAACCGCATCCTACCCTCGCTCCAATAATTAATAAAACTTCCATGCAATACAGATGCAGTTGAAGCTGCAGTTTATTTGCTATTAAACCTTCAATACTATATCGTACTACATTTCTGCAGACTTTTTTTTGAATTTTTCATTTCTGCAGACTGGATCAGGCCTACACTCCGATCAACCGACATAAAAACAACAGAACAGAATCAACAGAATAAGCCACCGATGAACGGAATGAATTCGAGAACCTTGCAGTATACTCAGAATCCACGGTGGAAAACATACTTGAGCAAATTACTAAATTGGCAAGGGGGCAGTAGAGGAGCAAATTACTTACAGATGAACTAGACGGTGCTGCCCCATTAACGAAATCCTGTATATGGCAGAAGCCTCTGGCTCTGAATTCTATCAATCTTTCCCATGGCATTGGCAAGAAGGTCTCCCAGGATAGGAGAGCCCCAGCATTGTATTGACAAAGGCAATGAGAGCATTACGGTCTTCTCCAGATAATATAAAAATAATGCTTCACCGACACAGAGTTCCAATCGCCTGGAATACAAAACCGTCAGAACTCACTCACACTAGGCAACTACTGATGAACCACAACCAATGAAGCCGACAAAAATATTACAGATTTCTCTTTCCAACCTCTGTCTGTTTGTTTCTTTTAGCTCTCCATGTTACAGCCATCAATCCCAGCCTTCTTATTCCTCTCCTGCTTGTTGAGAAGTTGGCTACTGCTCTGAATAGGACCAAGAATCGTTCCCCTGTTACCCTTCCGAATCAATAGTCCCCAACTTCTAGAGCTTTGCGGCAAACTCAGCTTAGCAACAATACAATCAATTAATCAAAGTCCTTGTGCAAAAAATAAATAGATTGAATAGGACTAGCTAAAAAGGTTACAGAGAGAATGCATTGATCCAAAATGCAGTTTAAATCTACTTAACAGAAAAGCAAAATTCATACAAGGCAACAGAGCATGCAAATAACAGAGTATACGCCAATGACAAGTGAATTATCTATGCATCATTTGAATTCTGCCGTCATCATAAATATTGTAAAAGCATGCGCAAATGATGCCATATAAGTAGCTAATAAGTGAAACAAAGATCACTAAGCTTTTGGGAGTTCCATACCATTATTTAACGTGACTGACTGGATGTGAGAAATCATGTGGACATTCTCCCCTTGGCACCTCTCGACCAGCCTTGGACAGTCCAGGATGTAGAGTTCCTTCAAGGCCATAGTATTCTACTCCCTCGGTTCCTAAATATTTGTCTTTTTAGAGATTTCAAATGGATTAGCACATGCGGATGTATATAGACATATTTTAGAGTGTAGATTCAATCATTTTGCTCCGTATGTACTCACTTGCTGAAATCTCTAGAAAGACAAATATTTAGGAACGGAGGGAGTATATGCTTTCAGGCAGAGAATGTCCACCAAGGGGTTTTATACATGTACATGAGGTAACTACCAAGCTATACAACGGGGGCATGCACAACGCGCAAACAGCGTGGAGTACGTCTGGTGCGTGGCTACGTGGGACTCGGTCCCGTAGTTACAGAAGCAACGGCAGCCTTCCAACAGCCCCCCACAGTCACAATGGGGCGGTCGACCACGTTGAGGCTGGACCGGAAGTCGAGAAAGACGGTCTACGGCAGCCCCTTCGTGAAGATGTCGGCGAACTGCGACGAAGAGGGGACGTGAAGCACACTGATGTCGCCGAAGGAGACCCGTGCGGAGTGAAGATCGATCTCGATGTGCTTCGTGCGTTGGTGTTGTACAGGGTTGGAAGAGAGGTACATGGTGCTCACGTTGTCGCCGTAGACGATCGTCGCCTGCTCCGGCGTTGTTTCCCCACAGCACTCGCAATCATCGCCCCAACCTCCTCCATTGCTCGTAGAGAGCTCTTGTTGCTCCCTCCGATAATGACATTATTGTGTTCGTGTGCAGAATGCCTGTAGGTGGACTAGGGGCCATGGAGTTTGCAATTATATGCCACTCTGTTTCTTGGGCCGAAGCTTTTGCATTGATACCTGGAGTGCGGCGTGGTTCAGCTCTAAGAATAAATCCGAAAGACATTGCAGCACAGGTTCTTGGAGTGTTTTGAGTTGCACGTCTCAGCCTTTGAGGAAAGGAACAATGTTGAGCAGCCGATGCTTGTAGCATGTTCTTGTGATGGCCTCTCTGTAAAAGGAAAATGTGGGAAGTGAAATTCTGCGTTTAGTTTAGCCTGGACACTGGAGCGCGTCGAAGGGTTAAAATGGTGATTTCACAGTAGAATTTGCCCATGTAATTAAATTAGAGAACATTCGATTTGAAGAGCTGCAGATAACTACTGTATATACAGATACAGGGAATTGCTCATAAGGAAAACTGAATATGCAGGGGAATCCACAGCGGAAGGATTTTAGCCTGGCTACGAGATCATGGCAGAAGGATTAAACTCGCAGCCAATGTTTCAACTTGGAGCAGCCAATCACGACCGGAAGAAGACCGCGAGGGACGTTCGGGCGAATACCACAGGCGGCGTACGAGCAGAAGGATTAAACAGTCAGAATGCCGTCTGCTCTGGCACCGCAAGCCCCACACCGCGCTGCCGCAGCTGGGTGAATGGTCGCCAAGCCATGGCCCCAGGTCCCCCACACCGACCACCGCATACATCCGCCGTCACAGTCCCACTCCCACCGGCGTCGCGGTACATTTGGGTAGGAAGATGGGCTCACCTGTTTTTTTTTTTTTTTGGAATTAGTAACTGCCTAACGTTTGGCGAGAAGAAACTGCCTGCGAACGCCCTAGCTGCCACACGATTTTGATATACGATGTACTCCCTCCGTCTCGTAATATAAGAACGCTTTTACACTCAAAATTAAAGGAATGCCATGATAGTTTTACAGAAAAACACCCAGGTCCTCCAAATACACTAAAACTGTCACACAAACATTCGCAAATATCATCTCTTGTGGCGAACGTTCGGTAGATATGCCAACCCTTTTTTAAGGCTTTGTTCACCTATTTTTCACAAGTGGAAAGATCTTAACTCATATATTACTTCCCAGTTTGATTATTTACCTCCTGAACAATGACTTGGGGGCTTTAGTCCATCCGCCAGTAAGACAATCCTTAGAAAAACCATAGAACACTTAGTAAAGTGTGTCAAATAACGATTCTACTAATTAACAGGTAGCTGAAAAAATGTGTCAGTCACATCCGCTTCACACGAGGCTGAAGGCAGCGGTGACGTGAGGAGTGGCAGCGACGAGCGCTTGCCAGGGAGTCCCAGCCATGTAGGACCAAGAGCTGGCAAGAGTGAGTAAATTTTTTAATGGGGGTTAGGGAGGGGTTGCCTTAGCTATTCATCAAACCAGGGCTTACTGGAATGGCCAGGGTGCCGGCCAGCACAACAAAGGGGGGAGGTTGAAGGGAGGGCATAGAGGGAAGGTGGCGG